ACTACATTGGAATGGTTAAGTCCTTCAGAAGCGACTAACCCGAGACCGCCGGTGAGGCCGAACCCAACTCCAGCGCCGCAGCCGATACCGCCGCCGATTCCTGGACCTCCGGTTCTGTCCTTGAGGTTGTCCATGTGTCTCCGGAGGAACCTGATAACCGGAAACTCAGATTTCCCAATTTTGGCGTCTGGTTTGTGGGTCCAAAGGTTATCTGATCTCATGGTTATGTGATTGTGAGAATTTTAGGAGTGAGAAAACCAGATAAGATGGAGAAAATTAAGTATTAGTATCTGGCACATGCACTTTTACAGGATCATGTATTATTTTACGTTTGTATTGGGCTTATAACAATTTAAGTGGCCCAATTAAGGCACTTCAGTCTCTCGAATACGCGCTTGCCTTTTATCATTGATACAAAACCACATGTACAGTACATGATGCCTTTTGGGTCTAGAGATAAGTTGCTGTGATATCGCACATACTTCTACGAAGAGCGTTAAAAAAGCCTCAAGAAGTTAAAAAGAAAAAACATATATAACTTTTTTTTAATAATAGTAACGATTACCAACTATGACCAAAGTCATACAGTTTTGAAAACATACAACAAAGATAAAAAAAGCTTGGATTACATAGTATGTAATCGAAAAACGAATTTTCCGCTTGGTTTGATTGATTAGTAAAGAGAGTCGGTCATTTAGCAACGTCTACCACGATTCTCACATCCTCTGATTAATTAGCAAAGAGAGTAAGCCTCAAGAAGTGCCTTTTCATTCATTAATGGAATCAAGCCTATTCGAGCTGGAGATCGTAAAAAGCCTCAAGAAAACAATCATTTTGCCTATGACTTTTGAAAATCATATTGTTGGAACGGACATTTATTGGTCGTCATTAGTATGAATTAAATGCATGAGATCGAGGTAATAGTCACATGAAGCACTAGAAGAAGAAGATGCATGTATCTTATTGTGGTTCGTCTTTTCTAATTATCGAAAACGAGGATATGACCCGCGTATTTACACGATTTTTTGTTTTACAACTTATTAAATTTAATAATTTTATTTATTTCGTAATTTTTTACTTATGTATGATAAAACAACTAATTCTTTGTAATTACAACAAAGTAATATTTGATTTAAAATAGATAGTTCTCATTTATTTAGTTTTAAAAAAAAAATTTACGTACATATATATGACCATTATATAAATCATGTTATCTAAATAACCAATTATGATTTAGANGATAAAATTTATCAATAATTTTTTACTCTATCTTTNTAGTATNATTACTTATCATTANTTTTTGTAATTTATCTCGGTCTCGTGAGTTTATATATATTTTGATTTTTGTTCATCGTATAGAAATATTTGAGATTTTATGATACTATTTGTTGAACGTTTTTCTTCGTCATAGGTTCATAAATAAAAATATTAAGATAATTTTTTAAGTTTAATGTGTGGTTCTAAAAAAAAAAGAAGTTGGATTGAATATAAGATTTCTTTTTTATTGAGTTACAAAACCTTTTAATAAAAAAAAAATTTCATATTTCATGAAATATATAGATTTTAAAAATTATATATAAAATCTTCTTTTTCTTTTCACATTTTAGATAACATATGGTTAAGTCAGTTGATTATTACTAATTGTTTGAACTATAAATTTAGAAACACATTTGAGTTTTTTTTA